AAGATAGTAAATTTCAAAGCAAGCTGTCAAGCAACATGGCTTCCTGACTTACTGAGTGTTGGACTTTGCAGAGACAAGACTTCGAATCACTATGCAAAGAAAAACATCAACCTACCAAGCACACACACACACACACACACACACACACACACACACACACACAAAACCACTATCTATTATTTCCGGTAAGAGCTTAACTTCCCAGGTTATGTCTAGTTTCACAGAAGGCAGCATCCTAGAATTTCGGTTTGCTGATTTAAGGGATTCCCAAAAGCTTTACCTCTGAGCAAAGTCTATTACAACCCCAATGAATTCAAATGAGCCATTGAGGGATTTGGGATTCCAAAGTCTCACAGATTTAAACTCTGTGAAAGGAATAATAACTGCAAAATGGTGACATTTTTATGTAACCCAAATTCCAGAGATAACAGCTGGTTGCTGAAAAGATGGGAGGAGGATCTCCGTTATTTTACTAAGCTAGAAATAAGTTGTTAAAAATCAGAATTCTTATATTTTCATAGCCTACAATGAATAAGTATCAAATAAATCAATCTATTTGAGCACTCAAGAGTCAGATTAAAAAGTATTACCAACTGAGGTCAACTGAGAGCTAGAAATAAGCCTTCAACTGGAAGGATGGAACGTATTCCATCAGTTCTCCAGAGTGATGCAAGTAATGTAAAGAAGCTTGAAAGAATTCATCTGCCCAAACGCAGGAAAGATAAGTTCCCAAAATACAGTTAGCAGAATATTCTTCTGATTTTCTTATGTCAGCTGTAACTTTTATTTCTCCTTTTGAATGTCAGTTACATTTGCTTTCTTTCTTCTACTGGGTTTTGCAATAATATTTATTGGAATGCTGTGGACTGGTTACCCTGAATGTTTGCTTTTTTTTAACATGTGTCACTACTAAACATGTGTATGCACTACCTATTCAAGCCACATATAGAAAATTAAAGATGTTCAGCCAACTTGTGCATGGCAGCGCGATTAAGAAGCCTGGAAGAGGAAGGAAACCAAACAATCAATCAAAGACCCGACCATTAACTTTCAGTGTCTTTGGAGTAGGAATCAGAAGACTTAAGGAAATAATTTTGTTTTTTTAGCTTCTTAACAACGGCAAACTACCGAGAGTATCTCGCCCGCACGGCAAATCCTGGCAAGCTACCCGTGACGTATTCGACATGCCAAACACAGTAACAATAGTTTCACAATGGAGACATTACTGGGCCCGCTCGAGAAAAACGATGAACAACAGGAAGGCAGTGGCAGTAGCAATTCTTAATGACAAATGGAAGCTTTAAGAGGTTAAGTTATTAATTCAAATCATACAGCAAGAGTTGATAAAACAGAGCCACCTGGTGATGCAAGCTATAAACTGGCAGAATTCTTTTGGGGAAAAAAATTGGTCAGTATATAGCATATATGGGTCCTTTTCTTTTTTTTTTTTAACAGGCTGGAAAGTCACGCAGACACTTTGATAGGCAGGTCAGCGGGCCAAGGCTCTGGCCCCACACAACCTGGGCTTCCCTGTGGGGCCGGCCCCTCTGCTTTCATGGGTCCTTTTCATTTCTTTTTTGGGGTGGGGAGAAAAAATGGCCAGTAAATTTTTTTATTTCATACAGAATGAGCATTACGGTAATAGGAGTTGATAAAGATGTTAAAATCTATGATAAAAGATTATTATATAGGCTCCTTGAGAGCATTTGAAAGCAGAGCCCAAGCTGCAGAACTACCGGTGAAAAAACAGGGGGGGATGTGAGACTGTGAAAGTCAGTGCTTGGGGCTCTGCTCCTAGGGATGCTCCAGGTAGTCCCAGAGATAGAACCTGGGGTTTCTCTCTGTGAAGCATGAACACCGGCCCTTCAAGTACCCCCTACAATGGATTCCTCTAAGATCAAAACAAGTACAGAACTTCAGAAGCTCAGGTCTCTTGCTCTTCAAGCCCGTACTCTCCTTGAACATGCATCTCACCTGCTTGCCTCCGAATTTCTTTGCTTTCTTTTTCTACTCTGGAGAAGCCCATGTTTTCTCATAAATGCGTATTTCCTCTCACATTTTTCTAAGCAAGTTCTATTCAATAAAAACTCAGATTTCACACAAAGAAAGAAAAGAAAGGAAAGGAAAGAAAGAGAAAAGAAAAGAAAGGAAAAGAAAAGAAAAGAAAGGAAAGAAAGAGAAAAGAAAGGAAAGGAAAGAAAAAGAAAAGAAAAGAAAAGAAAAGAAAAGAAAAGAAAAGAAAAGAAAAGAAAATTACATATCTTTAGTTTCAGCATATTTAGGCCAAACCTTCTTTGGGGAGATGTTCAAACAGTTTGACTTGCCCCCATTGTCACAGTGAAAAGAATTTCACAAGAGGTTGAATTCAGTCCTTCTCGGCTTCAGCTCCTGATCAGCACAATACAACAATGCTACAACCAATAATGGGAACGTGCCAAGAGAGTGACTGAAACAGTAAATTACCACAATTGAAAATGTATTTCACAAACTAGAAAAAAAACCCTCTGTGTAAGAGCATAATTAATGCATTCCACAGCATTTCCACTCACTTCTGAGTACTCAAACAAGCTAAAAAAGAACATTTGCATGAACAGATTATTATCACCCTTATGAACTGCTCAACTTCTCCCAGAAACATAAAGTATGGGATTTTCAAAAACAACATGAAGGTTTAGTAAAAAGATCTAATTTGGGCTTGGAATTTTTCGTTTTTGCTTGCTTAGAGAGAAAAGTAGAAGATATAAACTAATGATTGGATTTTTTTGGCTTGAAGAGATGGTGACGAGAACTCAAGAAGATATTTTTATTTGATGTAGCACTGTAGCACTGTCCTCCCATTGTTCATCGATTTGCTCGAGCAGGCACCAGTAACATCTCCATTGTAAGACTTGTTACTGTTCTTGGCATATCGAATACATCACGGGGAGCTTGCCAGGCTTTGCCATGCGAGCAGGATACTTTCGGTAGCTTGCCAGGCTCTCCAAGAGGGACGGAGGAATCGAACCCAGGTCGGTCACGTGCAAGGCAGACACACTACCTGCTGTACTACTGCTCCAGCCCATAAAATACAGTAAAATTTTAAAATCTATAAGTATAAAACAAATATTAGAAATAAGTGATTAAGATCATCATCACAATTTACTAGTATCATATCAAATATAATCATGTGATTACATTCCACCTTCACAAAGCATACAAAGATCTGGTCTTTAGAACTTTAAGAATTAGGACATTGACTTGAAGGAGCTTTGAAAACTGTTGTAAAGGCCAGAAAACAGGATAGACTGAAAATCTCACGAGACAGGTTAAAAATAGAATAGTTCAAACAAGGCACATAGGGCTGGAAGCTGTAAGGCAGCCTGTGAGTCACATTCATAGAAGCCTCGATTCTCATCTGTCTAGTTTCAAAAGTACAGAACGGACAGTTGGGAGCTCTGGAGCTTGATGGGGGCCTGACCCATTCTAACAAAATACCAATAGTAACTACTTTACACCTAAGAGAATTTAAAAGATAATAAATTAAAATTAGTTTCATAGTGAGCAACATATAGTGAGCTTTCAATAGATATAAGCTATCGTTATCTTCTTATTAAGCAATTGCAAGACCAGAGAGAGCACTCATGGTGGAGCACATGCTTCACATGCCGGGGCCCCAGGTAGGATTGTGACACTGTGTGGTCCCCTGAGAACCTTCCAGAGCAGCTCCTGAGCACCAAGCCAAGAGTAACCCCCAAAGAGCACCACTGTGACTGGCCCCCAAACCAAAACTAAGTTAATAAAGTGTTGCCATCGTATTCGGCTGGAGCTATAACACAGGGAGTTGGGCGTTTGCCTTACACGCAGTCGGCCAACCTGAGTTCGATTCCTCCACCCCTCTCACAGAGCACGGCAAGCTATTGAGAGTATCTCACCTGCATGACAAAGCCTGGCAAGCTACCCGTGACGTATTCGATATGCCAAACACAGTAACAAGTCTCATGATGGAGACGTTACTGGGCCCACTCGAGCAAATCAATGAACAACAAGAGGATAATGTGGTTCCATGCAGTGCAGTGTAATCATATTATTTAGAGTCCAGATACAATTATTCTTTCTGATTATTCCTATGAAGTATTTTTCATCTTCTCATATATACTTTGTTGGCATGTTTTCAATTTAATGAGTCACAAATAGTACCTCGGCTTTATTTTGATTCAGAATTGTGTAAACAGTAGGTGAAGGAAATGATTTTTGCAACTATTTATTAATTCCTTTTTTCCTCTCTGTTTGGAGGTCTTCAGCTGCTGGAGCTCTGGTCGGGGCGGGGAGGGAAACTCAACCCGCGCCCCTCCAAGGGGCCCCGGTGAGGACAGCCAGGCACGGGGGCAGGAGACCTCCAGCACCAACCACCACCATGCTGAGACCACTCTCCACACGTGTGAAGGTACTGGCAGAGGAACAAAGGCATGCGGGTCCCGGAGCTGAGATCTCCAAGCCTGCTTGGATCGGGGCTGAGTGTCCTCCACCCAGATCCTCCACCTTCCAGTAGGCAGGGGTCACACCCACCAACTGGCCCCCTGTTGCCATGTAATCCCATCAATGGCCAAGATCCAGAGACTATAAAACCCAGCTCCTGGAAGCGAGCGGCCACATTTGCGGCCGCACAACATCTTATTATCTCATTCTTACTTTGGACAAACTGGCAGGCTACCAAATGTAACCTGCCCACATGGCAGAATCTGGCAAACTCCCCGTGGCATACCCAATATGCCAAATACCAGTAACAATGATGGGTCTCATTCTCCTAAGCCTGAAACAGCCTTGAATATGGCACTTTTTAAATATCTCAGGGCTAGGATGAAGGAGACATTACTGGGGCCTGCTCGAGGCAATTGATGAACAACAGGATGATCGTGATCGTGATCCTCTCTGTTTATGACCTTTATTAGTAACCCCAGGGAAATGTCTAGGGTTTCTCAAAATTAATGTTAGTTCAGAGTACAAACAGTTTAACAGCTTACCTTCTGGGCTCCTTGTCTTAAAAATGTGCTGGCAAAAGTTTCCAAAATGCAGTTGAAAAAGCCAGCCCCTGTGATAGAAATTCTGCCTCTTTGGATGAACTCAGTCCTACAGAAACAAATATATAGAAATCATTAAATTCAGAAACTTTATAATTAGTATAAAATAATATCTGTAAGTCAATACTTGCATACAACACAAAATATTTTGTTAAAAAGAAATTTAGAGTTTCTATCATAAAGACAACAGTCTTAATAAAGAATGCTGTTTCAGGGACCTGAGTAATAATAAAGCAGGTTGAGCATTTGCAGCCAATCCATACTTGATCTCTAGAACCTTGTATGGTTGCCCAAGCACTTCCAGGAGAAATTCCTAAGTGTAGAGCCAAGAGTAAGCCCTGAACATCACTGGATGTGACCCAAAAAGCAAAAAAATAATAATAAAGGAAGGGAGGGAGGGAGGGAGGGAGGGAGGGAGGGAGGGAGGGAGGGAAAAAAGAAGGAAGAAAGGAAAGAAAGGAAAGAAAGGAAAGAAAGGAAGAAAGAAAGAAAAAAGAAAGAAAGAAAGAAAGAAAGAAAGAAAGAAAGAAAGAAAGAAAGAAAGAAAGAAAGAAAGAGGGAGGGAGGGAGGGAGGGAGGGAGGAAGGAAGGAAGGAAGGAAGGAAGGAAGGAAGGAAGGAAGGAAGCAAACAAGCAAGCAAGCAAGCAAGCAAGCAAGCAAGCAAGCTTCTTGAGCTCCCGTTTGACCTACAATACTACTTCTGGGAATATACTCTGGTACCCAAAAACACACAGCAGAAACACCACCTGCACTTCTATGTTCATTGCAGCACTATTCACAATAGCCAGAATCTGGAAACAACCTGGGTGCCCAAGAACAGATGACTGGATAAAGAAACTATAGTACATCTACACAATGGAATATTATGCAGCCATCAGGAAAAACAAAGTCATGAAATTTTCTTATAAATATACTGACATGGACAGTATCATGCTGAGTGAAATGCATTAGAAGGAGAAGGACAAACAAAATGATTGTACTCATTTGTGGGATAAAAAAAGAAAACATATGAAACTAATACCCAAGGACAGTAGAAACAAGGGCCAGGAGGACTAGTCCATGTTTGGAAGCTTGCCACAAGTACAAGAGGTCAGTTAAGATAGAGAAGGGACCACTATGACAATGATCATTGGAAATGATCATTCTGGACAAGAACCTGACTGCTGAAAGTAGATAAAGGGATATACATGATAAACCTGTCAGTACCTGTATTATAAAGCATAATGTCCAGAAGGAGAGAGACAGAGACAAAGAAAAGTGCCTCCCACAGAGGCAAGCTGGGGCAGGGGAATAATAGGAGGTGGCAGGAGTGAAACTGGGGACACTGGTGGTGGGAAATGTACACTGGTGAAGGAATGAGTATTGGAACATCTATGACTGAAACCCAATCATAAACAACTTTGTAACTATGTATCTCGTGATGAGTCAATTTTAAAAAATGCTTTAAAATACAAATAAAATAAAATAAGTGAAAAGAATGCTGTTTTAAATTCCTAAGAGAGTACATTTTTAAAATTCTTATGTCTCCACCAAAGATATCAATGCTATGTGAAGTAATGGATGTGCTAGAAAACCTTATTGTGGCAATCATTACACAACATGTAAATAAACCAAACTCCCTACACAAGGACAGATATCAATTGGGGGAGCAAAGTATCTGGAAGAACAAAAAAATATATGGGCAAATAATTCTAACTATAACAAGATAGAATTATATGCAGAACCTAGGATTCTTACTCAAACCTAAGAAAAAATTTCATAATAAGACTGTGGTAATCAGGAGTTCTATGCCTGTCTTTGACATAACTGATAACAATATTCAAATATTATTTTAGTAGAAAATTCACACATGACCAGCAACTCCACTACTTTGCATCTATCCAAGGAATACTAAGTCAGTACCATGAAAAAATATGTGTATACCTATGATCACTTCAGTCATACAATAGCTCAAATATAGAAGCAATCCAAATGACCAATGATAGACAACACTGTGGATAAAGAAAGGGTGGCATACACACACACACACACACACACACACACACACACACACACAATGGAAATACACTCAGGGGAAAAGATGAAATCCTGCATGTCACTACAACCTGGATGAAGTTAGGAGGGATTATACTAATTGAAATAAATCAGGAGGAGAACGACAAGAACTAAATGAACGCCCTCATATGTAGCACATAAGCAATGCATGGGAAGGGGCAGCATCCAGTGGCAACAAACCCTTGGACTCTGACTACAGGACTGAGGAAACCAGCAGTACAGAGAAAGGCATTGTGGGTAAGGAGAATTAAGGTGACAGAGAGGCAGGGGTGAAAGGACCTGCGGTACTTTGGTGGTGACAGTGGTGGTGCAGTGACTTCGCTGGCCAAAAAACAATAGCACTATTACCATGTGACCTCAAATACAATAGAAAAATATAGACATTTTGTTTTCATGCTGTAAAATAGCTGGGTTTTGGGGGTGGGGGGAGGGACTCAACAGTGCTCAGGGCTTACTCCTAGCTCTGTGCTCAAAGATCACTCCTGGAAGTGCTTAGGGGACCATACGTAGTGTAGGGGATTGAACTGGGGTCACCCTATACAAGGCAAGCATTCTACCTGCTGTATCACTCCAGTCCTGTAATCATGGTTTTTACAAATTGAGCTGAGACATTATCAGCAATATCCCATTAGGCAAATTACTTAGATTCTCTCCTTACAGGAAGAAACACATCTGGTGCTCAGGGGACCATGCAATGCTTAGGACTTAACTCAGCACTCCAAGTGCCAGCAAAGCCTGTGCTCTAGTTCTTTGAACCATCTCCCCAAGCCCACTCAGACACTCGGCTCAGTTTACCCACACATACAATGAGAATCATACAGCTCTTTCTTTTACAGTTATTGTATAAGATGAATAAAGATGACAGAAGCACAGCTTCTGAAAAACAATGTGCATACATTAAATATTAGCCACCATTACTAAAGAGAGTATTCGATATGCCAGACACAGTAACAACAAAGTCTCCAATGGAGACGTTACTGGGCCCGCTCGAGCAAAATCGACGATCAACGGGAGGGCCTTTACCTTTATTACTAAAGAGAGACAGAGATAGGAAAACCAGAAGCATGGATGGCTTCTTTAATCCTTGATTAGAGGAGGGAGAGACAGAGGAGATGTGTACTGCCTGATCGAAGAATCAATACTAATTACTTCCCTACATAAAACAGAAGTTTATTATTATTATTATTATAGTTTAAGTCACATGGTTACAATAGTGTTAGAGTTTACATTTTATATACACAGCCTCTCACCCCAACCACGGAAGCATCCAAGATCCTTCACCACTGTGACTTCCAGTCCACCTTATCATTTCCCCCATTCACCCATTGTATTCTCAGTTCTGGAATTAAGAGCCAAGGGTTTGTTATCATTTGATATTATCAATTCCTTTGCTTTGTTTCTCTCTAAACCAGAGATGACTGAGATCATCTACTTTTTGTCCTTCTCCCACTGGTTTATTTCACTTAACCTGACACTCCTCTATTTGAGCCAAGCTAAAGTGCACTGCATAAGTTTCTCTTTTTCTTATAGCTGCACAGTCTTCTGTTGTGTAGATATGCCATACTGTCCTTTGTTGAAGGACTATTGGATTGTTCCTGTGTTATCCAATGACATAGGAGTACGTGTATCTTTTCAAAGTGATGGTTTTATGTTTAAATGTATAAGCTAAGAAGTGAAATTGCTGGGTCATATAAGAATCTACTTTAAATTTTTTGATAAAATGTCATACTATTTTCCACAAAGGCTGAACCAGACAGTATTCCCACCAATAGTGAATGAGGCTTCCTTTTCACCACATCCCCACCACTACTGTTCATTCCAATCTTTTTGATATGTACCATTTCCACTGATGTAAGATTATACAAAGCTATAGTAACCAAAACAGTGTGGTAATAGAATAAATATAGATCCTCATACCAATGGGATATCCCTCATAAAACCCTTATATATAATCTGTGACAAAGGAGCTAGGCGCATGAAGTAGAGCAAAGAGAAAGTCTCTTCAACAAATAGGGTTGGAAAAATTGAATAGCCACATGCAAAAAAAATGCGATTTGATTCATATTTAATACCATAAACTAAATTTAATTCAAAGTAGATTAAGGAGCTTAAAATTGGACTAAAGTTCGCAAACTACATTGAGGAAAAAACAAAGGCAGAACATTCTAGGATAAGAATTTAAGAGGTGTTTTCTATTTGATTTCATTAGTAAAAGCCACCAAAAACAAAAATAAACAAATGTCACTGTCACTGTCATCCTGCTGTTCATCGATTTCCTTGAGCAGGCACCAATAACGTCTCCTTCGTCCTAGCCCTGAGATTTTAGAAAGTGCCACATTCAAGCCTCTTTCAGGATCAGGAAAATGAGACCCATCATTGTTACTGGGTTTTGGCATATTGAATATGCCACAGGAAATTTGCCAGACTCTGCCATGTGGGCAGGATACTTTTGGTAGCCTGCCAGGTTCTCCAAAGTAAAAACTAGATGTTCTTACTTTATCAAATGTACTTTAACAAATGTACTTTATCAAATTCAAAAAGCTTTTATGAAAAAAGAAAGCTTGACCAAAATTAAAGGTACACATTATCAGAAAATATTTACACACGATACATTAGATAGGGGCAAATATCCAAGGCTCACAAAGCTCAACAACAAAAACCTAGTAACCACATCACAAAATGAAAGTTAATGAACACTTTCACAAAGAGGATATATTGATGGTCAATAGGTATGTGAAAAAGTTCTCAGCATCACTTATTATCACAGACATCAAAGGACAGCACAATAGTAAGTTCTAGGGATCCTCATTCCTCCACAAAGACCTAACAATAAGATAAGGACCAAACTGCTTTTCTTGAAAACTCAAAAAAACAGTGATGAGGTTACAGAGTCCCAGCTACTTAAAAAATAATAATAAAAAAGGACATGATTTTAATAGAATATGTTGTTATTCATTTACCATAACCCCTATCCACCCAGCTCAAATGCAACA